TTTATTTTGCACATAAATCATGAAAGTTATCTTCACCCGTGGCGTGGGGGGGGACTTGCCCCCCGTACATTCTCTCATTTTTTTCATGAGTTAATAGTGCCAGCACTCTCGCAACCATGATAGTCCGCTTTCTGTGGGGGTAAGGACTCTTTCATAGATGGAAAAATGGAGACAATCGCTTCAAAAAATATGTATCCTCACACTCCAGACTGAAAACGGGTTGACGCCATTGCACCTGCCTCAGCGATTGTGTTCTGGGATAGTCTCTAAACTTGCGAGCAAAAGCCGTGACGCGTTTGACGTGATCATATGGATTCCGTGAGGGACTTGTTGTGAAAGCACTGCGCATGACAGCACCTACTGTAGCACGGTTGGTAAATTCCCTCAGGTACGCATTTGCGAGGACGTCTATACAAAATCATAACAAGATCAAATTCGGCACATTCGTCAGAGTCGGTGCTAAGCTAGCGTTGCTTACAGTCATTCCGCATCGGGCTTATGGTAATGACATGAAGTCATGTTGTTTGTTTAATTGATACGAAACACCGCCCAATGTGAAACCGAGCTAATATATGAATTTCCATAAGGTTTAGGGCCTAAACAGGAGGAGTTTACTCAGTTCGTCTGTTGCCTTGAATTGAATCCTAACTTCAGGAAAGCCAAAAGGAATTTATCAGCACTCTGCGTTCAGGCAGGCGAAGGTAGATATCCCAGGGGAGTGGGGAGGGGGCAAATGAAAGAAGATAGCATACAGCAGTTATTTGGTTATGCTGACACTAAACAGAATCGTGGATCTTCAAAGAATCACGGAAGTAACGATTTGCGTTTTGGTTCAGAGATGGCCAGAAAATAAGGAATAAAAATTGTCGAGACACAGACTTTAATTTTGTGTCGAAAACAACGCAGAAGCGACTCCGGTTTTAGCGTGTGTAGGCCTACGGTTGCAATTATATTTTGGACGCTAACTGCATGGACCACAGGATGCCAAACGAATCGATAAAATGAACCAATTACCTGATCGATAATGACGCAGTCACTTCAGTTAATGTAGCATTAATCTAATTTATCAAAATGACAGCGTTGGTTGGCATATTATCCACCGGTTTATCGAGTTAACTTCTCAGCTAGAGATTGCAAGCTGAGATTGCTTGGTCTGGAAGTCTGTGGTATCGATTGTGTTACTATTAATGCGACACTGAGTAGGTGGTATCGATAAAGATGTAGTTATCAGCTCGATATGTGACATTTTGAAAGCCATTTGGTACATGCATGGTACGGAAGGAAATTGTAACAAAAGGAGCCATGCAGTATTGTTTTAATACACCCCGTTTTCTTTACGTTAAATGTCTGCTTCACCACTTTCATTGCATTTTGGTGCCTTTGGATTCTTTGTACTATGGAGATGTGCATATTCATCAATAAACGTTGATGTCATTTCAGACAGTAACCTCAACGGTGCGGCCATTTCGACCCCAACATGTGTAGAAATTCTGGATATATTGCTGTCTTCAATTCTCTTTCTTGACGATTTTTGTTTCAGCACATGATGGTTAAGGTAGTAACTACAGGTTTCTGGCAGATATTTTAAGTGTGATGATTTTGGGTACGCAGTTTAATGAACGAAAAACCCTAAAATGAGCACTGTTCTAAAATGACATCAATTCAATAGTGTCCTCATTTTGTCAAGAAAACAAATGGCAAAATTCACACACTTGAAAGGGCACTTTTCAGTAAGGCCTCGTAGCTGACCTAAAAAGGATGTCAGATAAAGTTTGCAGATATGTAAGAGGCGGAGAAAGATGCTCCCAAGTAAAATTTATGTCCTGGGCCAAAAGAGGCGCAAATAAAAAACGGACCTGTTGATTACTTCATTTCCGCAAACGACTGAGGGTTTACAAAACTTTCTTGTTGCCAGCTTAATTCATTTTCAACCCCATGCTACTTCCTAATCTCCGTACAGCTCTTTCTCTGATCCAGTGAACGCCATACGGTCAAAAAGCGAAGCCATAGTTTGGGCTTTATTTCATTTCCGTTCAGCTGAAATTTATTCTTGGCAGCGTCGTCGATCACAGGTGAAAAGTGTTTGGGGGGGTGATGCTAGTCCCTAAGGCCGGCATGTTTGAGCACCTCTGCAGTGCCTTTATGTAGCCCCTCTAAACCTACGAGACAGACAATTACAGTGAGGAATATAGTGGCATGATTTCCCATTTGAATAAGGCAGACGTGTGGTGGGGGATTATGTGTCTTCAAACAAAGTCACGGACTATAACAAAAAGGGATAACTTGACCAAAGACCGTGCCCGACATGGTCGGCTACACACGGGTATTAAGGCACTCTCTGCGTACCTCTGCCGACCGTGTTCAAGTTACGAATAGTTTGAATACACGTTGATGACATGAGTTCAAGAACTGGGTTTCGATGGAATTCGATGACCATGGTAAACACTGTCACTGGTCATTGGCAGTGGCCCCCACCAATGGCGGTTACAGTGATAACTATTGCACGGAGCCACTGTACTATTGTCGCTCCATTCAAAACCCAACCCAATCCCTTCCGCCTATAAAGAGGGCCATTGAATGTCACGTGAAACGTCTCTGAGGCTCAACAAATATTGCCAACAAGTTTGTCTAGTCTTTGGCTGCTCCTCTCTCCCGGTAAAAAATTACTAAACCATTGCAGGCGGTACATACAAAATACTTTTTTATCTGATGTGTCTCAGAAACGTTTTCGTTGTAGTTTATCTCGTTAACATTAAACGTCAGGAATTATTCACATGATGTTTGTTTCGGGAGATTCTAATCAATATTTTATTTTCCTGATCGATGAAATTGGAATTTGTGGAATATGAATCAAACATTATGTGTATGCATTGTATCAAGTTTACGATGTTCTGTCTGTATTAAACTTTGGTGAGTTTTTGATGCAGTCATTTTGAGGACACTGATTTTGTTCCTATAATTTTTGTAACAATGTAAGTTTGTATAATGGAGAGCGAAAGTTAGATGACATTTCATGAAGACACCTCACTTTTTTAGCAGTAAAATATATCCTATTTTGCACCTTGCCTCACGTTGCTTTTCTACACGTGTGTATGGATGAGTGAGTTAAGTCTTCCCACAAATATTGTTAGTGAGCACATTTTAATGCAATTTCAATCAAAACTACCAAAGATAAACGTTGCCCTTATTGACATGAAATTACAGTATAACAGTGCTCTGATTGGTCTTGAAAAGCATGGAGAACATTGAAATTATTCAAAGGTGCACCTTTCTCTAATATGGTCAACTAAGAACATTAAACAGTGCACATTCAAAGGAGTATAAAGTTGCAAAGAAGCATTTAGTAATAATTTTCGAGGTAAAATTCGTGTAACAACCTTGCAAAAGGATACTGTCAATCTGAAAGAATGAAGAAGAGCAACGAATTAATTGTGCCTTTAAATCAAATCCAAGCTTCTCCTGAAATAGTTTTGTTTTCCCTAGTGTTGTATGGATAGCGCCGAAAGAGTGACAGTTTTCATTTGAAAAGATCTACTATAGATTGATTCCACTGATCCATTATTTTTAACTTTCAAGCGTTAACTTTGTAATAATAAGTC